AATGACAGAAAATAGAGCAAGAGACAAATCGCCAAATGGAAGAAGATGGTCAGACAACATTAATTGAGGCTAAAAACCGAAGTAAAAGAGTCATAAGGCTATTAATAAATTTAGGAAAAAAAAAGAAGATGAACTGATGATGTTTGACGCAATTTTTTCAACTTGTTCCCAGTTCTTTGCAGTAGGTTCTTCTGTCGCTTCCGGTATACGCTATGGTTCTGGGCTGGGTGAGGTCTTCTGTGTGTGTGCCTGACCAAGAATTGGCCCACGGTGTTGTTTACCTGCGTATTAAGGTCCCTTCAATAGGTGTTTTTGGTGGTGTCGGCAACATATTGATAAACAATATCGCGCATTAATATGCACCTTTTGCTTATGCGATTCTCATCACCCGTAGACTCGTCCATGTCCATCAAACGCGAAATTGCAATTGACCGTACATAGTGCGAAAGAAGAAATTTTTCGCTATAAACTAGCTCAGCTCCGTGGCAGATGCCGTAAGTACAAAGTATGCGAGTAAATTAAAGAGGAGGCTTTCTCATCTGGTAACATGAGGAGCTTTCTTCAACCAGGATGGATAATCCCGAGTTGCTACTTACAGAAAAATCCTCATGCCATTACAGTTAATCCTTGATTACAATCTCGGCTATGAAAGTACAATTTAAAGTTAAAAATGTTTACGTTCCACACTGGAAGGAGAAACAGAAAACGACCCTTAGCGAATACACGTTGAGCACATCTTGACCCCATTATAAAATATTACCGAGCCCTAGAACTTCCATTTTTTCCATTTTTAAAACTGCACGCTCCGACTACTTGCTTCCAACTGCCTCGCGTATTGTTCCTCGTTGTGCGGCATTTTTCTACTGGAGCTGTTGCTTGCGAAGCTCGCGATACTTTGAGTCTTCTGTTAACAAGGCTGGGTTCATAAATCACCCTGCATAGTGTTTAAAACAATCGTAAACGTTTTAAGTAACTAGTTTCTTCTTCATAAAATTGAGTACAGAGCAATGCAATTAGGTAATGAAAACCACGTGAAATAAAAGTTCAGTACACACTACGACTAAATGGGAACTTATATAGGAATGTGAATTGTGGAAATGAACAAGTTGTTTTGAAAAAACCTTGCACGTTCATATGTAAAACGACAGCATATGAAATCATCCGCTACTACGTCACTGGTATCTTAACGACTTTCTATAACATTATTTACCTACCATGATTAAACTTCCTATATTCCTTAGTTTTAATCACACTGTTTACCACAAAGCTCTAGACGTCGAAGTAGTTGCCTCCTCAACTGCTTATTTTCCTTCGGTGTCGTACGAAATTACAGACACATTAGCTAGCGCAGCTAATTAAAACTTGCATATTAATTTCAAACTCTATATGAATATTGTAATATACTCTGAGGTGCTTGATAAAAGCTCCTTAGGAGAACTCCCCCATCTACAAGGTGCAATCTACTTAGGGACTTGGTTTATGTTTTCCATCAGATTATTGTATTTTTGTTCATGGAGGCAGATTAAGCTTGCATTAGGCAGAGGAAAGTCGGGGAGGGCAAACATCAAGAACAAAGTGGATTTCCCATTTTACATTTTAACCACGCATCTGTCATCGCGAAAAAGTAATAATAATAATTATTCGATTTTTTTGGAAATACATATTTTGGCATAATTGACAATCAGCTGATAACAGGATGTGGTTTTAAAAAACACATATTGATTTTGCAAGTTAGGTGTTGCGGTTTGTAGTTATAATTCCAATTTTATACTGTGTATACAGTGTGTCCCAGATTCGCTTCTCTATACAGGGATCTGGACTCTTCTTATACCTACAGCAAAGGTTAAACGGGGTGAGTTTTAGAGGAAACTTAGTGCAAACCGAAAATGTCGAATTTTGTTCATGAAGTAAGAAATGCTCTCCATGAATTCCGAAATGAGCAATCGAACGTCTTTCTGGCGGGGATGCTTGACTCAAGTACTCCTTTCTGGAAAGTGGCGGAGTCGCTCAGAAACGGAAAGCGAGAACAACTCCCGCACATCCACGGTCCTGGGGGCATAGTCTTCAGGACCGAGGACAAGGTCGAGGTTTTCGCTGATGCTATACAACGACAGTTCTCTCCCAACTATGATCTTGATAATGATCTCGACGGGGAGCAACAAATTGTAAGATCCGTCAGAAGATATTTTATTGCCAACGACGACAGTGATCCCGGCGCCGCCATTAGTGATTCTTCCTCAGAAGATTCTTTTCGGAAGATTATTCAGTTGAAGAGTTGCACAGCGCATCAGCGGCTTCTCCCGAGATCCCGCATTGCACACCAGCAGAGCTTCAAGGTCATATTAACGACCTCAAGTTGCGTAAAGCGCCTGGGGAGGATCAAATCACTAAGAAGGCCCTGAAGCTGCTTTCACGGAAGTCCTTGACTTATCTCGTAGCTATTACCAATGCCATGCTAAGGACCGACTACTTTCCATCGGCGTGGAGGTCTGCGGAAGTTATAATGATTCCAAAGAAGGTTGTTTCGATATTTCCCCTGGACCATCATCCCAACAGCCTACTGTTTGCTCCGTCCAACCTCGCTGAGAAGGTGATTCTTCGTCACCTTGCGAATTTCTCGTCAGATCACCATGTGATTCCTGACGTGCAATTTTGATTTCGGTCTGAGCATAATACGGAGTTACAGGCGGTTAGGCTTGTGGAGCGAGTAACCAGGGGCTTCATCTTTAACGAAAGTACTGGCATCTTGCTTCTGGATGTCTCGAAGGCATTTGACAAGGTGTGGCACAGGGGCCTTCTCTATAAACTAATTCAAAAGGGCTTTCCATTTTGGCTCCTAAAACTTTTGAAATCCTCCCTGAAGGTAGAAAATTTCGGATCAAAATTAATAATTTCTTGTCGACAGTACGGTCCATCAAAGCCGGCGTCCCTCAGGGTTCGGTTCTAGGGCCAATCTTTTACTCACTTTTCACGCATGATTTCCCTTGCCCTAGCGACTGTGAAGTCTATCTATATGTTGATGACACTGCGCTGGTGGCCCAGTCGCGTACCGAGAATCTGGTTACAAAGTGTGGTGGATGAGGTATTGGAAACAAGCTGTCAACGAAGTCTCTAGTGCATCAGTAAGAACTATAGTACGAAATATTGGTGTGGGTAATTTAATCAGTGGTTTCGAACTTGAATCTACCAATTTTTTAAAAAATTAGATGAATGATTCGTCAGATATTTGATGCGCTCCACTATTGTAACAGCCTGTATAAAGCCTTCCTTCGATCGTACAGATGTTTCCCGATATCCTGCGGAACTTCTTGTCAGCGGTATCCCAAGAAAAGAGCAAATTCGCAATTTATTGCCGCCTCGTTCCTGCAATTCCCTCCTATACACGCTATGCGGTCGGTCGGTCTTTTGTCTTCCTTCTGAAGACCTCGACCTTACTGCTCCCATACATATTTACCAAACCGAAGTGTGAGAGCTGCCGTATTTTCCTGATATATCTGTGGATGACTCACAGCCTTGGTAATGTGCCAGCGAGGAAACAATTGCTTTAAACGAGCTTTAGGGGGAATCGTATCTATTGCATTGTATCAGTTCAGGCGAATAGCTTGTATCATCTGTTAACGTATTCTGCCTAATGATGACCGCCCAAAAAGAGATCTCTCTATCAAGCAACAGCAGAACACAAATATGAATTTAGGAATCTGCTTTGAGAAGAGTTAGTCTGGTTCTTCTACTATCTCATAGATGGCACTAGGACGTTTCATCCTGCTCAAGCCTTTCTAATGTCTATTTTAATTGTCATTACACTACTAATGAGCTTCAGTTAAAGATCGTAGCATACTATTGGATACAATGTAGGAAAACCCTTTTCAATGATTGCCTTTTGACAAATTTCATAACTTATCTATTCAACTCAAAACTACACAATCCTGGAAGTATGATTTCACACATATTATATATTTCTTTCTTAGCGACTCAGTATTGTGTTGAAATCTCTTGGACAGTAATGTTATAATATTTTATTAGTGACTATCCGAAATATTTCCTTATAAAATATCGTTTGTCCCTCTTTTACCCCCAACATTCTTTTGGGAAATAACAAGGTCCTGAGGTCTATCCATAAGCAACCAGTGATGTTGCGTACGTACATCCGGTGGCGAACTTTTCATCTCTGACCGCCTTTATCAGGCTTTTGGGATTGTTTTGTTTTCCTTGCTCGAAACTCTGTTTCGCTTTGTCTAGGTAGGTTGATACACAGTTTGGATTGGGAATCGGAATTTCTCATTTGTTATTGTTATCCTTTTTGGCATCGAATCTGTGGAGTATAGAATTTTGGAACTCCCTCCTACTTTTGACATTGATTGACAGTCAACTGACTGATGGAAGGCCGGAACTCTGGAGTCCGTCATTTTTATATTCTGTTGATTTCTAGGTTATATGGTGCGTGGGTCCTTCGTTTGATTTCTAGATTTTGGATTTTCGGCCCCAATTACCAGTAAGGAGTAGGAGTAACACCTTCTCTTACGTTTGGTTGTTTGTTTTGCTTTGTGTGCTACTCTCCATTTTCATTGAATTTTGGCCTCTTCAGCGGTAAGTTCTTTTTTCTACCATCTGGAAGAAGCTCGCTCATTATCCGCTTCCTTTCAGTGGAAAAGCATTAAGCATTAAGAAAAACTACCTTCTACTGAGTTAATTCATTACATCGATCATGATTTTGATTTTTGAGCCGCCATAACTTTTTTAGAACAAGGGATAACTGTTTGAGGGTGTATTAATTTAGTAAATTTTCCTTTTTTTGGCTTTACTTTACTTTTCTTGTAAAGATGTACATGGTTTTTCAAGTTCTAGTGTTTTGGAGAGCAGATTTTTAAGCAGTATTTCTCTCTATAGGGTTTTTTTGGACCTGGACAGTACCGAGGCAGTATTGCTGCTTACACCACTTACGATGTTTGAGTTCTGTAATATTATAACAGTATGTACTATATACAGGTATCCTGCAACGCCGATAAATGGATGTTATACTAAACGAATACGGAATCGGATACAAAAAAAATCAGTATTCCCTGTATCTATTCGGAGTTGTGCGGAGATCCCTAATTCATGGCGTATCCACTAATGAAACGAAAAAGAGCCACGCTATGATGTCCGGAGCGAAACTCCGCCGACAAAATAACTGCCTCAAAAACAAGATTAATGATGCTCAGACTATTTGAATATAGTGCCGTTTTTATGTGTACGGCATCTCTATAGAAGGTGGCTAACACATTCTTGCTTTAGATATGAGAAGGTATACACATCAGGACTACTTTGGGGTTCAACGATCCTTGCGCATTTTGACGGTGAGTATATAAATATGGGCTTGGGTAGAAAGGCCATAGCCAGGTAATAGTAACAGTTTCTGCAGAACCATTTCTTATTAGATGTATTGTTTGCAGGAGACAAGAAAAACGTCCACAACACTCAAAAATGGAAAAAGAAACTTACAAGAAAATGGTAATAGTAATGATAACAACCTTATAACACATAAGAAGAAACGTCAAGTTGGTATCAAGGTTCTCCTATTACATTTTGAAACTAGTTGTATCTTGGCTCGTCATAAATGATCTAATTTGTTTAATACTATTTTTACTAAAACAATGCACTCTAGGAAAAACACAGTAGTTATTTGTAGCAAATCGAGAATGAAATTCTAAAAATTGCGCGTTCTCGAAAAAAAAACAATTGCGAACTATTTTTATATGGAAAAATAATATCACCAATCCCCTGTATCTCCGTCACGGCTGCACGACAATTTTAAGACTTTTAAATGTGGACAATACATAGACAAATCCAGATACCAAATCTTAGTTCCTTCCAGTTGACGGTTTTGAAGATTTAAAAAAATGTTTTAAATTTTTAAACTTGAACACGTATCTTTTTGATGAAGCCATCGAGGAAAAAAATGTTACATAGGAGACTCCCTTTTAAATGCGGTCCTGTGTATGATCTTTTATTTTTGGCCACGACTTGTGAATCACCCTGTATATTTTTAGGGACAAATTACACGAAGATTTCACATCTAATAGTTTTGATATTTGCTTTAAACTCTTCTAACATCCTTTGACGAAGGATATAATAAAACAACAGAAATAAAAATGCTTGCTTAAATAAGTGAATCAGTGTCGCTATATAATAAGGACCTTTATAGTTGAGACGAACATTACTGTTTGTTCTTTAAATTCAAGCAAGCGGAGATCATTGCATATGTGATCCCAGCAGGATCTGTCTGAACTACTCTAAAGAATCTATCCACGCTTCAGTATACCTACGCGCCCAATGTCAGGCAAAAGCCATAAATATAAATATCAAAGACATATGCGGAGTGAAGATTATACTACTCGCAAGATTTATGAGCTTCTTTAACACCTCCGTCGAACATTATTTTTAATCTGGAGCCGTCTATAAATAAGAAATAGAGGCGAGCTCACAATCTGCATCTATCCGACAACCGGAAACACTGCGTCTGAGCAAAAAGTTCTAATCTATAGCTGCAACGTCAAGACTTCGTGGGTGATTTATACGACACAATATGACCTTTTCCACACCGGCCTGTTATTTGTGGTCGACTGAAACACTAACGACGTTACACATATGAACCTACACGGTCTATATTACTAGGTGACCGATATTCATCAAATACTGTCTCGATCCGACATTTTCCTTCCATTTCCGCCTTATACTCACGACGAAATATATATACCAGGATTCAGAATTATTAGGGACAACTCATGGAGGTTATTATACAGGGTGTAAACGTTATAGTAGTCATTATTTAAATGTGTATTAGGGGCGGTCAGAACAAGTCAAAAAGTTCATATGACCCATGGTCCAAAAATCAATAGATTTTTGTCTGAATGGCTTCATAGTTTACAACTTTAAGTGTCTTATATCGACCACAATCACCACAATATTGCTAATTTTTATAATCTAATCTAAAACGTTTTTAAATTGGGCAATTAACAAATTAATGGTATCAAGTTTTTCTAAGTTAAGACAAAATTTGTAGTCAGTAAGTAAGTTTCATTAAATTAAATATTTAAAACACACATGACAACAGCGCGTCGGCATTTAATCACTCTTATCGAACCGGCAATCGATCGCAAACGGTAACAAATTTGTGTTCCTTATTTATAAGTGGATTTTTTTAATACACTCAATAAACTTTCACACACCAGGTGAAGCGCTGAAACAGTTAGTGGTAAGTCCGTTTTTTTAATTGTTTGCATTTTACGAGTACATTATCAAATAACGAAATAATACCTAAGAACCAAAAATAACAAACGCCATCTTAATTTACACTGCGTTCCGACGTAATTTGCGTCTGGCATTGCGGCGTTGTCAGATTTTATTTTACTTTAAAACCGGTTTTCTCTAAAAGATGCTGTTTTGACCCCCATATTATATGAAACTTTCTGCCTCTTTTAACACCCTCTATCACCCATATAAATAATGGCTATCATAACGTTCACACCCTGTATATCTAATGTTTTAGGATCCTCGACAAACTTTTACAACATCCTTTCAAAAATAAAAGCATGAAACAATATTTGATACGTTCTACATCTCCTTGCAAAAATGCTCGCTTATATAAGTGAATCAGTGTCGCTGTATAATACAGACCTGTATATTTGAGATAATATTTTTGTTTGAGATCAAACCTGTATAGTTACTGGGTACTTCGTATATGCTTGCCGTAGTATATTGATGTATTTTCCTCCACAAAGTCATACCTGTAGCAAAAGGATCATATTAGGCTAAAACGTTGATTGACATAAGATTAAAAATGGTATTAAGCACATCTCTTTATGAGACGTAGGGCAAAGTTGCTTTTAAAATTACACATAGGCTAGTAGGGACATGTATCACCACGTTTATCCCTTTATGTGGTATCTGTAACCACAGACAAACAAATTTATTTGGTATAGTTTATTGCCCGTCAATCTGAGTGATAATCAAGACTGCTTATCGGGCAAGTGGCGAACCTCATTCAAAACATTTCTAATCAACAGTTACATTGAAAGGTGTAGAAAAAATAGTAATCCAGTCAACCCCCGGTGTTCATGAAACCAAAAATAATAGCAGACCCCCATTATACCAAATGAAAGAATTGTGATCCCTAACTTGAGTTCAACATTTTTCAACAAAAACCACAACGGACGATACATAACCTCGTAGATTCGAAGTATTAGGTTTAAAATAGGTATTCAGCTGTGGTATTATATTCGTTACAATCGTCTTCAAATTTTGCCAGGTTCTTGCACTTGCGTGCTGTGAAAATTGAGGAGGCAAGAAGGCAGCGGATATCCAAAATCCACCCACTTCTGTATAGCCATCCATTATATTCAAATTTGGAAAGACAATGGTGAGCTGGAAACTTCCACACTACCTATCAATCACTTCATGAAAGCTTTTCCAAACTGATCCCGAAAGTATTCCATGGGATTTCTTCCCTTTCCTCGTTCAAACTTTGAGAAACAGATGCCTGCATCTCGGAATGTAAATGCCTTGTCATATATTTCTGTAGCTTTGAGAATGTAGGATTTTCTGCATATACGCTTTATATTCGGTCCGCTTAGTTTACCTGCTTTGTGTATGCCGTTTTCTATGTTTATTCTAAATAGAGGCAGATATGAATGTTATATTTGAATTTTATGTAACGTTAGACAGGGTGTTCATAATTCGACATTCAACAAAGGCAGTATTCATATTTATTTACTCTATGAATACAGATGAGACGACTAAGCAAATATAATTTATCTATAGAAAAACAATACCTGTGCATCAATTGTATGTCGAATTGCAACAGATGAAGAAAGAATAGAGAGAAAAAGCATAGCTATTTGCAAGAATGGTAGTATTAACTGTATAATATTTGAGATTATTCCATTAATGTTGTTTCTCACAAGCGCATCAATTCATTTTTAAAGTTATTTCTGAAACTTATACGTGCATACAAATTGGGAGCTAAATACAGGAGAGATCGTTTCATTACAGATTTTTTTGGTTTAGGAACATTTTTTGCGCATAATTTATGATGTTATGACTATGGTTAACCAAAAAATATGTCGCTCATTCCGGTCGGTTTGTCTGTTGGTGTGTCTGCCTGTCGGTCTCTGTGTGTCTGTCCTCTGATCCTCAACCCTCTATAACTCAGAAATTGTCGCCCAAAACTTGATATACCCTTAACACAAAGTTATCCTCCTATCAGGGACGAAAAAGCTTATTAGATTTTGAAACTCGGTCCAGCAACAAACAAAAACAGAAAAATCTTGCTTTTTTTTGGTGTTTATAGGACTTTGTAGAGGTTAGAAATTTAGAGTTGGCGGTTACAAGGAATGGGGGAGGGTGTATCTCTATTTCTTGACAGTAGTATATTTAAACGCTTCCAATCAAGGTAACCCTTACGCACATATTAGTAGATATTTTATAAAATTTAAACAGATTCGTCGCGTATCGGTCGCGCGGCATCGCTCACAGCTGGCACTGGCTGATAACTGACTCTCGCGGTTTCGCAACGTTGCCAGGTGGGTGATACTGTCAGTGAGGCAGGGGAGAAATGTCTGGTTCGCAATGTTGCAAATTGTGGCGCAGACAGACTGTGGGTTAATTGTATGGGCCTGTTTGACTACCACTTCTTCCTCAGATTGTTTCCCTTGTGCCAGTTTGCAAAAATCTACCATATCCGCTTCCAGAACAAATTAAACATTTACCCTTTCATAAAACTCTGGATAGCTGTTATGCAGGTAGCGTGGAGAAAAACGAAAACAACAACCAGATAAGCGTTGCATGATTCCCGGCTGCATTAACATTTTCCGTGAAAATTTATGACGGAACTATTAATCATCATTGTGGTGGCGTCCCGCTCCCTTTTTTCTGTCCAGACCAGGCTAATAAACAAAATTTCCCCGTTATCTCTCTTCCGCTTTGCTAATATGCAGAAACAAAAAAGTCCGGGCAACACTGCATTACGGACTAGGACGGCAATTTCGGAATCAAGTGCAACCACAGATGTGGAATTGCAATATTACCTGGCAAAATGGTTTCTATTTTGTGCCTTGAAAAAGGTTACCGACAGGGTGAAATGTCAGTATTTCAACTCTAGATCTATAGTTTCATTTGAAGACTGGGACTTGGACCACAGCGTAAGTTTTGAGAGTTATATTGACAAATCTGGTAGACGACAACGTGCAGTTGTACTGTTATTTTCGCCTTCATAGCTCTGAAAGGGTATATTTGGCTTTGATTCCGTTCATAGTTCCACCTGGACCGTCCTGATGATAGGAGTTCGGATGGAAAAAGGCAATTCATTTTTAGCCTCTTCCTTGGAAATAAATAAGGGAATAGTGACAAGTCAATTGACAATTTACTTTCGTCGCATTCATTAAGCTTGTATACAATGTTCCATGTAAAATCTATTCAAAGGACTCGAATGAATTCTGATCCCATGTATGATATGAATGACCTCCACTCCTATCGCATCCATAGCTTTTCTGATGACATGGAGTCA